GAGCGTCGCCAGGCCTGGAGTGACCTTCGGATTCCACACACCCTGTCCCCAACTTAGCAACGCTTTCATTCACAGAGTTCAGTTTGTGGACAGCTGACTGAGTCTCGGAATGCATATTTCGTCGAAATATTGTTGTAAACTACAGTTAGAAAAATGGGGTACCTAGCTAACGGACTAATAATGCCCACGCGGCATCGTGTGAGTGACTGTTTATGAAGACAAGCGCACGGGGCCATCCACGCATTTACAAAATACGAAAGCCTGGAGTTCCTCTGAGTGCGGGGGCTCAGGGGGTAAGCTCTGGCAGGGCAGGAACGGGCACCAGGCAGGCCCTGCCGGGGTGTCTGTGGGGGAAAAACAGTTGTCTGTACTCCTGGCACCAGCACCTCGTTAAATATACACACGCGCGTGTGCATATTCACGTGTGCAAGTGTGTCTAGGTCTGTGGTAACCGAGCGCGCACACGCACACCTCATCTGCAGTCTTGAAATGAGTCGAGTACGGAGAAAACAGGCCTGTGACGTGCACAGCCTTCCCCTCACGGACCACCTGGCGACCCACGCATGCGCTCTGCTCATGCTGTGACCTGCGGCTCCCCAGCTCCAAGGAGGTGCCTGGGCGTGGGGTGAGGAGGACTGGCAGCCCAGCAGCCCAGCTGCGTCCAGGTGCATGCGCCAGAGGACGCTGCCACGCTCAGCCCAGGAAGGCTGCCCGCGGCCCTGCCGGCTGGTATTGCTAAGCCCGGTGGCCCTTCAGGTGCAGCTCTGGGAACACTCTATCTAGAGTGGCCTAGCTGTTGTTGGCAAGGACTGGCAGGGCTGAAGGTTTGCACCCCCTGCTGTGTGGTGATCGGTTAGTAGCAGCAGGAAAGGAATCCATCCATTTCCACACAGGAAACCTGGCCACAGTGTTTCTCATCTCATGGCCAGTAGTTACCAGTAACCGCTCACAATGTTGCAAAGACATGGGTAACAGTAGCCAGTCTATAAGTAGCTCACAAAGTGTCCACTGCATTGAAATACCACCCTGACCCTGAGAGTCTGACATCTGGCATCGTGTGCAAGGCACCCTGACTGGGGCCAGTGGCTCAACTGCGCCGCCCCTCGGCCAGCCTCTGGAAATAGGACCTCCCTCTAAAGATGCTCCCAGGACTCCCAGGAATGTTATCTGGGGGCTGGAAATTCAGTATTGACACAGCGTCTGAGGGCTGAGACTGTGGAAAGGACATGCAGCTTCCGTTGGTTGTGTGCAAATTCGTTATCACACAGCTTTGGACACCAGACAGCCGGGACAGGCCAGTCTGTGTCTAAAATCAGGCCCTGGGCGGTGCTGCCTTTCTTCTGGGCTTGCTGGGACCGTCTGCTTCCTGGCCTTTCCCAGTTTCTGGGGTCCATCTGCAGCCCCAGGTTTGCAGCCCTGCTTCACTCCATCTCCTTCCTGACCGACGACCCTGGCTCCTCTTACGAGCAGTGTCTGATTATCCCAGATAATCTCTCCATCTCAAGAGCCTAAACTTGCCCATATCAGAAAAGCGGTCGTTGCTATGAAAGTGTATTTCTCGATAAGAAGAATTAGGACATTCACAGTGCTAGGTCTCTAAGACCATTATTTTGCCCACAACAATCTGCCTCTGCCCCTGAAGTTAATGCATACCCCACATGCAAAACACACGAGCTCCATCCTGATCCCCTCACGAGTCTCAACCCATTACTGCAGCCAGCCCGGGTTCACAACCTCAGCTAACTGACATGGTCACAAGTTCTCGTCTCAGCATTGGAGTTAACAGTCAGCTATGGGTGAGAATCTGGCGAGTCTTCTCGAAGTGCAACTCTGTATGTTTGTGAATTTGGGGAACCCAAGAAATGAGTGATTTGCTCCCAGAATACCACGGTGGGACAAGCACAAGGACCAGTTCACATTCCCATGTGAAAGGGAAAGACTGCAGGGAGAAGGGAGCTCCGGGACCAGCAGATGGCACAATGGTTACATTGCTGGACTCCCACATTGTCTACTGCCGTTTGAGTCCTGGGCCCAGCGGCTTAAAACTCATGCCAGGCACATGCGCACGTGTGCCCAAAATCCTGAGAGGAGAATGGAGAAGGGACTGCGGCGTGGCCATCCTCCTGGGAGGTGATTTCTCACTTTCCACGTCTCTGTCTTTGTCGCTCTCTCTGGCAGGTGCATGCACCCAAAGGAAGCACCATACCTAAGCAGTTCGAAGTCCAGGCAGATATAAGCCTTGTGATGTGAGGCTCGGGCCCTCCCTGCCCGGCCTCTCCCATGCCCACGGAGGGCAGTGCATGTTTGAGGCTAAGTAGTTTTTCATGTCGGGCTTGGAGCCCCATAACCCTTGTCATTTGGGCCTCTCCCTGTCCCTTTTGGTCCTGGTTTCTCCTAAAATTCTCAAGAACCGGGTGGTCTCCTGTGTGTCATAGGAATGCACCTCATTAGACAAGTCCCCTAGGGATCGTCTGGGTAACCTGCTCTCTGTCCCTGCTCCACCTCCAATGGCTGAGGGGCCCTGAGCTCCTTGCACAGCCTTCGCTGTGACCCAGGTACTCTAGCCCTTTGGCTCCTTCTGAGGCAGTAGCTAAAGGGTGTGCACTGTCGGCACTTTCTCGCTCTCTCTGTAGAGGGTTTTGCCTTAGGGCACATGCACTCACCGGAGAGAGAGAGACAGAGAGAGAGAGAGCGAGAGAAAGCGAGAACTCACCCCTCAGGATGGCCATGCTGCACCCTTCTCCTCCATTCTTCCCCCAGGATCTTGGGCATGCACGTACATGTGCCTGGCGTGAGTTTCAAGCCACCGGGTCTGGGACTCAGACTGCAGTCAGCCATGTGGGAGTCCAGTGACGCCATCTGCTGGCCCCCACTGGCTTTCTCTGAAGGGCATGTCCTGGGCCACCCCAGTGCACAGTCGTTAAGGGCTGTGCATAGGAAGCAGATCCCACATGGCCGAGGTTTGAGTCAGACCCTGGCAGCTGGAAACACACTGGGTGCGTGTGTACATGTGCAAGAGTCCTGACCGGGTGGAGAGACGCTCACCCGTCCCCCGACGTAACAGAACTACGCTGCTCTCTACAAACAGAATTCTAACACCCATTTGTGGCCCAACACCTTGTATTAAGATTTCATTCATGTACATGACTTTATTTCATTTTGAAAAATGGAAAGAAAAACTAGAAAATATTGGGTTGTCAGAGGAGTCATGACATATCTTTCTATGCAAAAATGCATCATGACTTTTCCGACGACCCAATAGAAGGCAAACTCGTGTAGAGAGGTGGCGTTACATGTCGTTTGGAGAGTCTGCAGAGAAAGGATGGGGGAGGGGGTGTGTGCACTGGCGTCTCCCAGAACGGGGCCCAGCGCATCTCCAGGGCTGTGTCTGCAGCCGGCCAGGCAGCTGGGCTCTGATCCTGGCTGCAGCACCGAGGAGCTCGCGCCCGGGCCTGACCTGGTAATGGCCACGCTCACTTCCCCGCGCAAGTGGGCAGGCAACAGCCACCCAGCACGGCATGCCTGTATGAGGGCTGAGCCCGCACAGAACACGCTTAACTCGGTGCCCACGGTGGGCACGCCAGCTGCCACCGCCACCACAGTTAGTGGTGACGGTGCTGATGGCTGTGGTATTGCTATTTGGAAGACCGGGCTTAGATAAAAAACTTAAACAGGTTTCCCTGGGAGATTGCGCAGCAGGGATCCAGGTGCTGCCCAGCGTCCAACACTGGCGGGGAGCAGTGAGGACAGCCAGCCGGGGATTCGGACTGTGCGTTTGCCCTGTTTACAACTGTCTCCTGCTCACAGGCTGTTGCACAAAATGCTTCTGTTAGGTCGTCGGAAAAGTCATGACGCAGTTTTCTATGCAAAAGTGTGTCAGGACTTGTCCGAGGACCTCATATTTGTAGCCTTGCCAAGGAAAGCTTTTAAGATAATGCTGGGCAAAGGATGGGAAATAAAGAATAAATCACCTTTGAAAGCATCTGAAATCGGTTTGCAAGCAGTAATGTACGTTCAGGCACACGGCACCCCACACCACGGGACTCCCGAGCGCGTTCGATTATACCTCATCTCAGGACCGCATTTGCCCGCAACACAAACGTTTGTAATTGGGTGGGAAAGGTTCAGGGAATTTCATAAAAGATTATTAGCTAAAATAAGGCCTTAGTATGCCTTCCTGGGACGGGGGGCTGCTCGGGAAATAGGCATTTAGGAAGTCACTAAAGTCCCCACCTCTTGTGTTCCAGCCTGACCATCTCTGCTGAGTGCCCCATGCAACTCGAAGACTTCCCAATGGATGCCCACGCGTGCCCCCTGAAATTCGGCAGCTGTAAGTTATTTTCACAAGTAAGAGCCATGGATCTACTTCTGGGTCGATTCCGCCTTCACTCAGAAGAATTTAGGTTCTTTTATACATAAGGGGTCTGTTTGGGAAGGGAGGCCGCCTTCCCGGTCTGTGCAGTGGAACATCAGCGCGTGCTCAGGGTGTCTCAGGCCGGGGTGGTGCCAAGACAAGGTGATGGAGGCTCTGGACGATCTCGAACAGCCTCCTCTGAACGAGCTTTGCTCCAGACCCTGCCCTGGCAGTGGCCACGTCCTCCGAGAGGGTCTCCAATTCTCTCCACCCAGCAGTAGCTTTCTCACCGTCTCACAGCGCTCTTGAATCACTTCTAGAACATTCCGTAAGGGCAGTGACTGTCATGTCTGGGTGCTACTTACGCAGAACACTCAGGTCGTTAGGAAACACGAGGGGACTGGCGAGAATTGGTGCCAGAAGGGAATGAGCCCTCTCGTGTCTTGGTATTCACTTCATTGGCAGGTTGCTGAGTTCTGCATATGTGGTTATTAGGGTATGGGGGTACAGCTTTCTTTGCCGGGGCTGTCTTTATCTGGCCTTGGTATTAGCATGCGTAGGCCTCATAAAATGACTTCAGAAGTGTTTCCTTCTCCTTGTTTTTTTGGAGAGGATGAGAAGGACTGGCATTGATTTTTAAATGCATGGTAGCATTCACTAGTGATTATCTGGTCTCGGACTTCTCTTTCTTAGGAAGTTTTGGATTACTGAGTCCACCTCCCTACTTACTGAGCTTTACAAACATCCCAATTCCTCGTGACTCAGTCCTAAGAGGTCGCATGTGTCTAGGAATTCATCCACTTTTTCCAGGCCATCCAGTGTATTGGCACATACTCGTTCACCGTAATCTCTATAAACCTATTTCTTTCTGTGGTGTCAGTTGTGATGTGTTCTCTTTCATTTCTGGCTTTAATTGCTTAACTCTATTCTCTTTTTCTTAGTTAGCCCAGTAAAAGTTTGTCAATTTTATTTATCTCTTTAGGAAAAAAAAAAGAAAAACCCTCCTAGTTTTGTTGATTTTTTTCCTATAGGTTTTCTTTTCTCTGCGTTTGTACTTCTGCTCTAATCTTTTCTCTTCTCTCTACTAAATTTGGGCTTAGTTTGTGCTTTTCTCCCTCCAGCTCACTGAGGTATAAAGTTAGGTTATTTGAAACCTTTTTTTTTTTCTTCTTTTTGGTAGGCTATAAATTTTCCTCTTAATACTGCTTTTCCTGTACCCATACATTTCAGCATGCTGTATTTTTATTTTCATTTGTCACAGAATGCTTTCCAAGTTCTCTTTTGATTTTTCTTTGACCTATTGGTTTTACAAATGCGTTTTTGAATGTCCACATTTATGAATTTTCTAGATTTTCAACTGCTATTGATTGCTGGTCCCGTCTCCTTGTGGCTGTTTCCCTCTCTCGCCTTTTCGTTGGATGAAGGTCATTCCTGTTCCTGTTGCTGTTTCAATTTGCTGACTCTGCCTTCTGCATTTCCAATATACTTGTAAGCCCAAACAACAGATCTTCTTTTAACATGTTTGTCAGTTTTAGAATTTGTATTTTTAATAGTTTCCATTTCCCTAAGATATACTATTAGTTTTTAAACTAGAACAGTTTTATTGTAAAACGCACAAGTTTTTCTTTATACCCTTAAGTATATTTCTAACAGCTGCTTTGAGACTCTTAGGTGCTAATCCGTATCTGGTCTCTCGTGGGGTCAGTCTGCACTGAGCGTGCTTCCTTTCCTGGTCCTTTCACATCTAGTGCTTTCTGTTTCCTGCAGACCTTAATGCTGCATTGCAGAGACTCTGGAGCTTGTTAAATTTGGAATGTTAATTTTACTTCTAGCCAGATAACTTGGCGGGGTTTGAACCCTAAACTCTCTCCACCTGTGTGTAAGTGACAGCTAAAATGAAAGGTGGTCCTTCTACTTCGGCTGGGCTGGCAGGAAGTCTGTCCCTGTAGGACTATGAACGCTTCGGGGTACATTGGAGAAACACGTGTCTGTACACATCACATTTAGGGCTCCTTCTCGAGACCCTTTGTTTCAGGATTACGCCTCATTTCCCAGCTGTACTGCTCCGATAGCACCCAGCTCCTGCTTACTCAGTAAGAGTAAGCGATCCTACCCAAGTGTGAACTCCTCGCAGCTCTGACTCACAGCTGTTCCAGTAGAAATTCATTCCTTTTTCCAAGTGTCAACACTATCCAGTTACTGCCTGTCCATGGTCCCTCTCCAGGGTCTTTAGGGACTAATTTTTTATTTTTTAAAGCTTTTGCCTAAGGGCGTGTTTGTTTGCTGGGGGAGAGACAGAGACAGTGAGAGGGGAAGCAAGAAATCATCCCCCGAGGGGATCGCCATGCCAGTCCCTTCTCCTCTATTCTCCTCCTGGGATGTTGGGCACACATGCACATGCGCCCTGTGTGATTTTCAAGCCACCAGGTCCAGGACTCGAACTGCTATCAGCTGAGTGGGAGTCCAGTGATGTAATCACTACACCATCTGCTGGTCCCAGGGAGTTATTGTTAGTGTGGTGTCCAGACAACATGAGCTGCCTAGACGCAGCCTCAGCCATTCCTGGACCTGGGACCTCTTTCAGTTACCACCGATGTGATTTAATATTACTCCTGCTATTCCGAGGGTTTTTTTGGAATTAGGGAAGTTCAGTATGTGTGAAGAGCTAAAAGTTAGGTTGGATGTAAATAATCCATTTTTTTTTTCAAACTATGGTCCTGAAATACTCTAGAGAAGCTGGAATAAGCATGTATTTGGGGGGAAATGGCCTCACAGAAAGGAATTATCACTGGGGTTTATTTCAAAAAGTCAGCCCATCCCCTGAGGTTACTGTGGGTATCATTACTTGGACAAAGAGCCTTCTAAAGATTTCCGAGGCATTTTATTTGAGAATCACTGATTCCTATCCCTGCAGGAAAATTAGCTGTTCATGTTCACATTCCCAAAGGAAAATGAACTGTACAACTTGAAATTATGCCATTCTGTACATGAGAATCAGGCTTGTGTTTTGATCACAAACACTAAAAATCAGGTAATGTTTTTTTCTTCTTTTCTTTTTTTTTTTAATCATTGGGTATAAAAGCTCAAGCTAATGCAATACCAAGATTTCATGGCATGAAAGCGATTTTTGGTGAAGGCAAATTTGGGATGAATTCATACCTCTTCACTGAATTACCTTGTATTGAACACCCAGAAAATTGCAAAGCTAAAATATTCATCTGACGGACCCCTCCACTTTCTCCATCAGATGAATAAGATCGATTTTGCATGCTAATATATTAGGTCAATGGTCTCTATAATTAAGCCGATAGAAACGTCCCTTGAAAATTGCAATGAAATAAGTACCATATCCAAAGCTAAAATATTCATCTGACGGAACCCCTCCACTTTCTCCATCAGATGAATAAGATCGATTTTGCATGCTAATATATTAGGTCAATGGTCTCTATAATTAAGCCGATAGAAACGTCCCTTGAGCGCGGCAGACAAAACACTCCTCGGCAGTTTCTCCTCTGCCCCGTGCTTCTCAGAACGATCCCATTCAGGTGTCGGTCACTTGTCTGTGTTTGCTATGAACATCACGGCTATATATCCAGAATGACAGGAGGGATTCTGTCCAACCTTGTGCCTGAGCACAGCTGGCTGAGGGCTCGAACACTGGGCAGGCCTCCCCTTCCCTTAGCAGCCGCGTCTGAGGTCACACCGTCGTACCTTCAGAGGAGATGCTCTTCAACTAAGTGTGTTCCCTGTCTCTCAGTTTTCGGATTTCCCAAAAATAGATGCCAGGCCGGCTTGCTCACTCACACACCACTGGCATCTGAGCATGCAGAGGCTAGATGTGATTGTATAATGAGGCCCGAATCACCCAACTCAACAGTTCTCACTGTTAGGAGACAAAGGGGTGCAAAGCTGTGTCGTTATTCTAATGGGCCTCATGCTCTGGGCTCGCTGCGGGGCAGGAGCAGACATGGCTGTTACCGCTCTTGCGCGCTCTACTCGCAAAATTCCAGCAAGTGTTTAAATTAGCTGTAGCTTAGAGAGGGGTGTTTCCAAGTCCTTAAGGGAATTCCTTCAAAGCAATGGCCTGGCTTTTATTTGACAGCAAGTGCTTAGAGACATGAAGACCACGAAAAAGAAGAAGAAAATCCTGAGGGTTTTAGTCTCACTTTGTGAGCAACGCACTAAACATCAGGGAAAGCCGTGGGAGTTTGGGGGCACCCGGGTAAGTCTCGCGGTGGTGAGCTATTGAATGTGCTGGGCAGGGCTGGGTCTCTGCCAGGGCGTCCGGCATCCCTGTGTGCGGAGACCCAGCCTCACTGTCAGGAGCTGGGACCGTTTCTGAGCCCGCTGTGGCTAATCAGTCTGTGAAGTCCCAGAACACGAGGAGGGTTTACCTATGTGGTGTCTGGGTTTAGACTGTTGTTTTTATCATTACAATTGCCAAAGGGCCTATGTGCTTGCCAGAGAGAGCCAGAGGAGGAGGACGTGGGAGAAAGCACCTCCCATGGGCTGTGGTCACGCTGTAAACCTTTGTCCTCCATCTCGCCATCCTGTCGAGATTTTGGGCACATGTGCACACACGCATGCCAAGGTTGGGATTCGAACTGTGGTTGACCATGTAGAACCCGGCTCCCTTAACCACCAGGCTAGGACCCAGCCCTGAACTGTAATAACCACAGCGTTGCACTAGTTAACCTTGCTTGCTGCTCTGGTCTGAATGGTCGGTCCCCTAGAACTCAGGCTGACAGCTGAGCCCCAAGGTGATAGTTAGGAGGTGAGGCCTTAGGGAGAGGCCGCAGAGCGCCCGTGTCCTTTGGCCAGCTGAGGGCAGGGTGACAGGTGACCTGATCGTGCTGAGGTGACCTGATCGTGCTGAGGTGACCATCATCTAAGCGTCCTCCTCGTCTGCCTGGGCTGCTGTAACGGTACCCAGCCTGGCCGGCCAGAGCAGCTGAGGACTGCCGGGCGGAGGGGAGGGCCGGGCAGGGCAGGGCACAGCTGGGCGCTGCAGGGCCAGCCGCCCCTCCTCGGCATCTAACCACGGCGTTGGATGCCAGCTCAGGCTTCCGCTGGGATGACTGCTGTCCTCATGGAAAGGCCGCTCAGCCGCACCCTCGCTGTTCTCTCCCCAACGGCCTTTCTCGTGCCTTCCCAAACAGACAGGGTGCAACTTTCTACCTACGTTCTGCCTCCTTATAGGTGAGCAACTCCACCTCTGTCTTTTTCTTTCCATTTTACTGGAGGGTCCACGCACTCACCAGAGGAAGACAGAAAGAGGGACACGAGAAAGCAGCCCATGGTGAGTGGTCACACGGCAGTCCCCGTTCCCCCTCCGGGGGTCTGGGCGGACATGCCCATGTGTCCAGCGTAATTTCTCAAGCTGTTGGGTCCAAGTCTTGAACCATGCAGTCGGCCCTGTGCGATCCAGCCACCTTAGCGACCAGGCCACAGACTGGCCCAACAATGACATCTTTAAGTCATTTCTCTCTTTCTGCATGTCACCATGAGCATCAGACAACCCGGGCTGTTCTTCCAACGCTGCTTAGAAATCTGGCCAGCCAGCCAGCCAGTGTCGCCCCTGTGGGCCCACGGACAGGTCAGCCACTTACTCTGCCACTCCACAGCAAGGGTGGGCTCACACAGTTCAACAGAAACAGGCAAGCGAGGGCGAGTACTGCCGCCCCACCGTGCCTGGCCTTCCCTCCGTTCAGCATCACGGTCCTCGTTTTCATCTGAGCCCGCATCGGATCAGCCTTCGCCACCCACGACCCCACCAGCCTCATGCTCAGTGACGTCAGTGTGCTCTGGACTGAGGCCCTCGCCACAGCTCTTCTCTCTGGGCTGTCACCAGAACTGCCCTGAAGCATCGGCTCACGGAAACGCAGGCTCTCCTAGCCTGCAGCCGGGACCCTCCAGCCCTGACCCCCGCACCCCACGCCGCACCCACACGCCGAGGCTCCTGCCCAGCCGACCTCGCTGCCCCCCTCCTGGGTACCAGCTCTGTCTCGGGCCGTTGGGCTGCTCTCGCAGACGCCCATACGCTGGTGACTCACTAATGTCCGAAATGTATTTCTTATAGCTCTGGAGCCTGGGAAGCCCACTCAGAGCGCCGGCAGGTTCAGGGTCTGGTTCGAGCAGGGCACTTTGTCCTGTGTCCTCACAGGATGGAAGGAGCAAAGGAGTGCTCTGGGACCTCTGCCGTAGGGCAGTGACCCCACTTGTGAGTGCTCCACCCTTGTGACCCCATCCCGTCACCACTGGGATTCGTTTTCAGTCATGTCGGGGGCTCGAATACTCAGGCCAGAGCAGGCTTGGTAAGCATTCAGCACTCTGCCGGGAGCAGAGAGGAACATGGAGCTGATGAGGGGTGTGTTCAGACCAGGCTTGACCGCTGCGGACAGGGGGAGGCCATTCGGAACATACAGATGGGGACCATCCTGGGATTGTGGATCGAATAGAACCTGGCGGATCTGAATGGCAGGAGGCATCCTGGAGTGAGAGCCTATGCCCACTGACATGGCGGGAGAGTGCCCGTCCTGGAGGTGAGGGCCCACGGTTAAGTCCACTGACACGGCGGGAGAGTGCCCGTCCTGGAGGTGAGAGCCCACACCCATGCCCACTGACACGGTGGGAGAGTGCCCGTCCTGGAGGTGAGAGCCCACGGCCACGCCCACGGACACTGACACA